AAAAAAAAAAAAAAAAGACTACATATAAGGAAAAGGCAGCATTTGGTCTAGACCTTGAAAAGTAAGATTTGAACTTGTGTTTGGGAATTATCAGTTTCCCAAACCGCATCTTAAAAAAAGCACACTATCTTTGTTACAATTGTGCACCCTATTTACTAAATATTTATTAAGCACTCATTATAAGCCAGACTAAGGAAAGATAAATATAATAGAATTTAATGCCCACAGGGAGTTCATAGTCTGGTGCAAGTGGTAGATATACACACCAAAGATTATATAGTCCTTAGTATATATAGAGAAGGAACCACCTAAGTCTCTTGGAAAGGTGAAGGATGGCTTTATCCAGAGGGGCCATTTATAATCTTACTTATAAAACATAAGAAATAGCTCATCAGACAGTCAAAGGGGGAAAAAAAAACAGCAAACAGCACTAGAATGCAGAATGAACAAGGAAATGACAGGAGATCAGCCTAGACTCTAAGAGCAGCGGTTCTCAACCTATGGGTCACAATCCACAGGAACTGTATTAAAGGGCCATGACATTAGGAAGGTTGAGAACCACTGCTCTAGGGAGTTGCTCAGGAACAAATCAGGAAGGGTCCTATATTCCATAAAGAGTTTAACTTTGACCCTATAATAGAGTGCTAGTTAAGGCTCCTGGTTTTACTTATGCTTAGGATATCCCTTGAAACTTAAGAGGTTTTTACTATTTATTCAACTTATTCCATGGTAGACTATAAAAGCTCCATATACTGCAAGCATGATTATTAGATACAGGCATCAGGTGCCAATAACTTTCTTTAGTAATGTAATGATTTTATGAAAACATGATGAGTCTTCAGTATTTCTTTAAAGAGGTATATATAAACTTAAGACAGATAAAACTATCAAAATATAAATACAAAAAGTTGACAGAAATAATCCATTCAATTCTTTAAATATATGCCATTTCTCAGATTAAGAAACATTCACACATAATAATTAAGACTGTAGAACTTGGAGTCAGATTGCCTTCATTTGAATCCTGGCTCTTCCATTTACTAGCTATATAACCTTGAGCAAGTCCCTCAATTTCCTTATCTGTAAAATGGGGACAATAGCAACTTCCTGGGCTACTGGAAGGATTAAATGAGATGATGCAAAAAATGACAATGGTGAAAACATTTTGTGAGGACTTACTGTATCCCAGGCTCTCAGAACTTAAATTATAGCACTAAATACAGTGCCTGACACATAGTTAAGAGAGCAATAAATATTACCATATTTGTCTCATGATTGGCTCCTTTATCAGTCTCCAGGAAAAGAATATGAAATGGTTTATCAGGAACTCCCAGAACTACGTCAAGGACTAAATCACAGATATCATAACCTGAATGATAGTTCCTTTCACATTTTCTGTGGATTCTTCACCTGACACTCTGATCTCTCTAAAGGAAAACAAATGGCATCCTCTCAATAATCACCATATCTGGCCCCATCTTCCAGCCTGAGAAACTTACAATTTTTTAAAACTATAAGCTCACATCCTTCTAACTCTCTTGCAGGGAAGAGGGAAAGATTATGTTATTTTCACAAGGGCAAAAAATAAGTGTCACAAATTATACAGTAATTCAATTCAAAACCTGAGAAACTAAAGGAAAGGGGTCAAAAATTCAAGAGTAGCATGCTCATGAGACATGCTGCTTTTTCAATACATAGCCCTCTCCAATATCCAATACGCACTGCCTTCTCTTTCACTCCATTTTATGGTACACATAAGTATAGCAACTTAAGAAGTGAAACGAAGTAACCTCTATGCCCTTTCAGATACCAAATCAATGGCCCCTCTTAAGATAATAGGTAGGGGTGCACAAACCAATCTTGCAGATAACATCCAGGAAAAAAAATAAATTTTAATTCTAAAAAATTAGGTCAGAAAGAGCTGCATGCAAATATGTCTACTTACCAGACAAACCTGGCAGTGTTTGCTCCCAATGGTCTGCCTTCCAAGCTTTTCTAGAGGTGGTCTTGCCAGAATACCTTTCATCTGTGTCCAACAGGGAGGCTGAAGCCAGTTTTCTAATACTACCCACAGCCAGGAAATCACCTTCCCCGTCTTCCCCTTCATCAAACCTGTCAATCACTCTGGCAGCAGTGGCTGTATAGAGGGGGAAAGCAATCAGAATCTCCAAGTTAGAAGAAACTTTAATGGGAACTCTGTTCAACCCTTTCAACTCATACTTGAATGTCCTCTACAAAATCCCCACCAACTTCCAGGAATGGGAAATTCATTACCTTCCAAAGTAGAACACTGTCTTACCGCTGTTCCAAAACAGAAAGCTGACTCCCAACATCTACCAGTAGAATATATATTCCTATACCTTAGATCATATAAAACTAGTCTAATTCCTCTTCCATATGTGATAGTCACTCCAATAGCTTAAATCCGCCATCATGTTCTGTCCTAACCCTCAGGGAGTTTTCCTCACTTCTGGCTAAACAGTTCCTTCAACTGCTATTCCTCAGACACGGTTCAGAATTCACATTTATCCCTCCTTCCTCACACTTTTCTGATTCAAGCAGGATTACTCCCAGCTAGAATTCAAACACCAGCTTACAGAAGAGCAGTCCCAATCGTCAGCCCTAAGCAAGTGTCTTAACCTTTAAAGAGGGCTGAAAGCATCAGAGAATCCTACTTCTTCCTTAGGGGTACGCAAAGTTAAAAACGAACAAACAAAAAAGATAACACGTCCTTCTCCTCCATTCTAAGGGACCACCTGTAAGGATATCCTGAAAGATAACTTCCAACTTGCTACCAGACTCTCTAGCTTCCTCCAACAGCCATTGACCAAGTGGACTCGAAGACCAACTCCGCCGTGTGTCCCGCCCACCCACCCCCGAGCACTAAGTTTGGAATGCGCGTCAAAAAGACGCCGAAGCTCTTTTCCAAGCCCAGGGTCATCCCTCGCCGTAGGCAATTTTTCTGTGCGCAAGGAGAAAGACAGCAGACTAAGCCGCCAGGCCCGGGAGCCGGCCACTCACACGCCGCTGGAGCTACCCACCAGACCCGGCCCACACCTCCACACGTGGCCTGCCCCAATCAGGCCTCACCCTCCTCCGGATCCGCCTCAGGATCCGCCTCGCGCGGTCGTGGGTTCAACAACTGTTCCAGCTGCAGAGCCAAGGGCTGTGGCCCCCCCATCGCCACCAGGTCTAAGTCCGCGGCGCACGTCAAAGTGTTCCTTAAGCCACGGCCCACACACTATCTCCCTTCCGGGTCCACTAACCCCTAGACACTAATCCTCTACACAGCCGGGGACCGCGCGGAGACCGGCGTTCAGCTCCAGGCCGGCAACTTCCGGGACGCGCGCGGCTGGAGGAGGCGGGGCCTGCGCGTCACCACGGGCGTTGCTAGGATGAAGGCGGAAGCGCGCAGAAGGCTTGAGGGACTGTAGCGGTCTGGTGGAGTGTGCGCGTGCGCGTGAGCGGGGTGGGCGTGCTGGCCTGTGCAGGAGCGTGTGGGAGCACGTGATCGCCTCTGGGGTAGAGAAGTGATTGCGAGGCGCGCGGCCGGTGTGCCTTTGCACAAAATATGCCACAAGATTTGTGCGAGATTCCTTTAGGAATACAGCGGAATATAACTGTGGCCCACGGTGGCTAATTTGGAAGGAAGGGGTAAAGGGGAAGCTTCCCGAAATGCAGATGCACACTTGGGAACTCACAGACTGGGACTCAAAACAGGTTTTGCATTTCACAAATTAGAAGGGTCTGGGCCGGACACATGCCCTTCCCCCCCGCCATCACTCACTCTTCGGCAGCCAGGATTTAGGAAATTCAGGGCAGGGGTATGCATATGTACATGGCAACGGACTGCTGGCGTCTTTATTAATACGAATACTTAGGAATCGCTATGGCTGTGCATAAATAAAGATCATTTCTGTAGCTTCTCCAAGTAGCCTTGCCTGAGCAGGGAAAAAGAGGTAGGGTGGGGATTACTCTACTGCATTGATATCTTTGCTGTTCAGAGATGAAGGCATACTCAAAGACATCTGAAACTGGTACACAAGTGCAGAAGAACTCAGGTCTACTGTAAAAGACTTAATAGGATGAATTTAAGTGCACACAGTCACGAGGAAAAACACAATCCCTTCACATTCTTTTTCCTTCATCAAGAATTCCCTGACTGCCCACTACGTGGCAGGCACTACTAAATAAGATACAAGGTAAGTTAGACTCTCTCCCCTTGGGGGAGGAGGGCAGACAAACAAGTAAACAGAAACTACAATAGAGGTTGGTAAGTGATAGTACTGTCTATCCTTCCAGTATCTACTGGAGGTCACCTGTAGAGACCCAGAACCCCCTAAACTGAAACTGCTTCAAAAGAATCCAGAGAAGAGACATTAGTAGTTCAGTGTGGCAGTGCCCCTTCTTGGATATAGCTCAAACCAGTTGGACCCTACAGCTGAACACCTAGGGGACCCTCAGCTTCCCAGTGTCTCCCATGGAAGCCAAGGGAAGAGAAGATCCCTGACTTTCACAATCTTTATATGCCCCCAGGGCAAGAGCAATGAGAGGACACCACTTTAGTGTGGCCCTTCCTTTGTTCCATGTGGCTCTTGAAGAATGACCAAGGGTTGCAGAGGGAAAGGAGAATCTCTCTTAGGGCAAACCCTCTCAGATGTGGAAGGATAAAAATGCCAGGCTAGCTAGGGGACTCAGGTGAGGAAAACTACTTTTTACCATCAGTAAGAGAACTCAGGCTAGGAGAACAGGTTTTTGTTTTTGTTTCTGAACATGTCCTCTATAATTGAAGCTTTGGGTCTGCATCTAGGCATCCAAAGCAAAAGTTCACTCCTTAGGCCTAGGCAAGGTGCCATTGCCCTTGGCTCCGAAGGATGAAGTTTTTCTCCCACCCCACGTGTAGGAAACTGCCTCCTTCAGTCCTCTTCCCCTGCTAGTTTGGGCACTACCTTAGAAACCTGGCCTTCAAGGTAAAGAAGAGAGAAAAAGGAGAGGGAGGTGAGGCAGTGCAGAAACTACCTCTAAACTGTCATGCAAACAGGACACTGCTGGCCAATTTGGGGGCTGTGCTGGGCAAACAGCAGAAAATGGCAGTAGACCTGTTTACCTATTCTCTGTCCCTGTCCTATTCCCTGCTGAATTGGGAGGTTGTTTTACCAAGGAATTGAGACAACTCTACTGTTGTCACACATCCCAGGGCCCCCAAAATAATTCCTCCTGCTTTCTTATCCTCTACTGGAAGTAAGAAGAGGACTATAGAAATGGGGAAAAGAAGAAAGAACTCTAAGACTTAAGATGCAACTGAGAGAAGTTTAGGTACCGGAGAGGAGCGCAAACTCTCAAATGCTCTCTGCCACCTGCCCTTCTAGTGTCTTAAGGTGGTAAGGGAGGGAGTTCCTGATGGGGTTAGGGATGGAGATGGAGGATGGACTATGGGAGGGGATATTTCAGTGACTAACTATCTAGAAGAAATCTCAACCTGCAACTGCTTTAGAGATAAGAGCAGATGAGATGAGCAGGGAGTTGAGGATAAAGGTGAGCAGTCCCCCAACAGAACCATCCTCTCTAGGGAAGGATGGAGAAGCTCTGCGTTCACAACTATCTGCCTGCCACCTACGGGCTCCAAGGTGGCAGACAGGCAGCTATAGGAATACCAGAGGATGCGGAGGAGTGACTTTAGGCCTCCCCTCCTAGGTTGTTCCAGACAACTGTCTGTTCACTTGACCAGGAGTTACAACAGTTTAAGAAAGCCAGCTTTGATCTGCCTGTCTTCTCTGACATCATCAACCGAGGTCCCAGAACCCAGGCAGTGCCTGTCCTGGCTTTCCATGCATTTTTATTTCCACTCCATGTTTTGCCCCAAAGCAGCCCCTCAGCTGCGCCTAGCCCAGAGAAGTTGGATGGGTGAGCTTGGGCTCCTTCGCCAGAGCAGATGGTGGCTCCCCACTGCTGGAACCCTGAGGGCAGGTGGAGGGAGACTCAGAGGTGGCGGCTTTAAGATGGCCGCAGGGAGAAAGAAGTCAGGCTGCCAAGCTCAGCCCGGCCCGAAAGGAGGCTGCCCTCCCGGCTGGCGAGAGGAGTCCGCTGTGGCATTGTCTTCCAGCCCGTGGTCTCTCCCGGGAGCTTCTTGTAGGGATAGTCCCACGCTTCCCTGCACCTCAGGGCAAAAACGCCTTTGATGGGGAGAACAACTGTCTCTGACTTTCCCAGACCTCCTCCTCCCCGGCCTTCGGCTCCAAATTTGACAGCAGTGCATTGCCACCTGTTCGTGCGTTCGCTAGGATTCAGAATACTATGAGGAGGGGAAAGATTGCGCAGCCATCGAGTTAGAAGACTTGAACCCACACTGTGTGCCCAACTCTAAAACACTTCTTTATCAAACACCCATTCCACAGTAAAGCTGCTAAATAATTGAACAGCCTTGATAGGAAAATGCAGCTTCCCAATGAGCATAGTTCAGTTAAATGAATGTCTTCAAAAGGGGGTAGAGGATAGTGGCTGTAATGAATAAGTTAGCTATGATTTAATGTATATAAATGCTAAAAGGGCAAAAACAAACTGATACAGTGATTGCATATAAAGCAAATAAGGAAATGTGCTGCGTGCAGAGGCTAGGAGTTTCAAAAGTCTCCCTTGTATTTCATAAATTTTTATTTCTCAAAGAACACTGCCAGATTCCTCCGTGATAGTTCCCCCCCATTAGATAAGCCATCATATGGATGCAGTGAAATATTGCTCATTTTTAAAGCTTTCTCTGCAGAAAAGATAAACTTGGCTGTATCTTAACAAAATATGAAAACAGCACTGGAAAATACAAACCATTTAATGTAAAACCTTTGATTTTTTAAATAAGGAAATAAATAATCTAGACCGAAATCTGGGTGCTATGGAAAAGAAATCCTGAAGCTCTAATAGTATCTCATATTAACACACACATACACCCACATAGGAGTATTTCATAGTAGATAAAATAGTCACATTTTGCCAAGTCTAATGAAGGCTTGGAAGAGACTGAACTACTTTTCAGAACCTATTGGCAACTCCCAGTTTAAATTCGATTTCTATATTAGTTATTTTTGTTTATCTTTCAGAGAAACTTTAATATGTATCTTGTGCTAGACAAAACAGTTTTCCTTCTAGGGAGCTTCAAATGTAACAAATACTATAAAAAAAGATTTCATATCAGTTCTGTGAAAGGGATTAAAGTATTTCACTTCTAACTGTACTGTACATTCTTTTTACATTATCTTTCAAACCACCAAATTAGAAAGCAGGATTATCTATGGGGAACGAATTGAAACTGAAAAGGACCACCTCTAACTATATATTTACAAGTATCTGATATTCACAAGCCTGGTTTTGCATGTGCAAGGAGATGGGGAGAGAAAATGGCTTTGGAACTCATGCCTACTCACAGACTGGGACCACTTCTTTTTAGCCATGGATTTGATTTCTATTTCAAATTCTGTATTAAGTTATCAGCAAACATCTCTTCAGCTGTATCAGTTAAATCCACAGAATGCAAATCTGTAGTTAATAACAGCAGGAAGCCATGGAGAGAAGCTTCGCTGGCATTAGCAAGGGGGTTCAGCCACAGTCAGGGCAAAAACAGATATATCACCCCAATCCTGCCTCTCTTCCTTCTAGCTTCTGAGGGGCCCATTCTACTCCCCAGCAGGGCTCCTCTTTAGTTGTTGAAACATCAAATAACACACCAATTATCTAAACATCAGATTTTTCTATTTTTATTAAAAACTCACAAATTTATTCAACATGTTTTCTTTCATACAGTGAATGGTCTAATATGCACTGGAGGTCACACAAGCTTAGGTTTATTAGAACAATAAAAGACATATGAGAAATTTAATATATAAAGAAAAAAGTAGCAGCTGTTGACTGCATATTTGACCATAAAATTTAAATATTTTGGACTTTTATTTTAAAGACACAAAAATAAAACCTGTGTGGGTCTATATAAGTCATATTAACAATTCCATGACTGTTCAACAGGACTAAAAATTAGCAAAGATTTTTTTTTTTTAAACCTTGTAACACTTTTTTTTTTTTTAACACTTTCTCAGGTTGCTGGTGCCAGGCACCTTTACAGTATTTGTGCTATAATTATTCTATTTGGCAACTGTCTGAATATCATGTTTTCTCTTTGCCTCATGTAAACAACATCTTTTTACATACTAGCACAGTGAGCCTGCAAATCTGTCAGAACATCTATAGGAAAAGAAAAGGAACAATTTTGGTTGATTGCTCAAAACGTTTTTGTTTTTGAACAAGAGGTTTCAAAACAGGATATATTAGTAAAACACTGAACTCCTGAATTTAACATTATACGTAAACAGTTGACTGTTTTTAGTTCAATAGTCTTTTTTTTTTTAACTTTCTGTGTGTGAAGGTAGAATACTTTTCTTTGTACAGCTGATGTTCAAGTCATTTTTACTGAGAGGTCTGGCTGGAGACCCATCCTATCCAGAGTGTCCGTGTGTATATGTGTGTGTACAGTTTTGTGAAGGTAGAAGAGTTGATACTGAGGGCTTTACATTTAGAATTTTGCTATTTTGGCAAAACCAAAAATCAAAAACCCAGATAGACAAAAAATATATATATAGTCCCACCTGATGGCACAGCAGGTCGGCGTTTCTGAAGCTATAAGTTTGTTCTCGCAGTTGCTAAGCTCTGAGACAACACTAGTAAGGGGTGTCCCAGAGCTAGAAACCTCCCGTTTAGCCCTGGACCACCCCAGGCCACTTCACCTCCCTTATCCGGCCGCACTCACTGCCTCCCTACCCAGGACTCCAAGCATCACCCCGGGCTGTGAGCGGCCTGCGGCTACCAGAGTCGTCTTTGAGCTGACACCAGGCGGATAGGCCCGCGTGGTCTGTCCACCGATCCCGGTCCAGGTGCAAGGTGGGGAGAGGGCTGCGTTTCCCTTGGGGAGCCCCAGTTCTGCACCTTGCCAGCCAGTGTGCGGATCCCAGTCCCACCTTGAGACGGATTTGAATCTGGATCCCATTTTGTGTCCCCCTTTCCCATCCGGTCTCCCCAGACGGAGAATGGTTCCCAAGGCTGGAGTAAGGGGGGAAGGGGCTTGATTTTTTTTTCTTTTTCTATTTTTCTTAAATAAAGGTTCATTTCTGTACAACCATGAACTCCGCGGACCTAGTGAGACTCCGCTACCACACGGCCGCTTCGCTCATTTCGGGGGGATGGGACAGGTGATTCCCGTAGCTCGTCCCGCCATTGACAGACAGTGACGAGAAGGGTGGGCTGGGCCCGAAGACCTCAGCTGACATGGAGTGCAGCGGCCCAGGCAGACTGGGCTCGGGACTGGGAGAGTCCCCGGGGGGATGCGCCAGGATGTCGGTGAACCGCTGTGCCTCGCTTGAAGGGTGGTGGCCCGGCAGCGGGTGCTCCAGGCCCCCTAGGGGCGTCCCGGACGGCCCGGACGATGGCACGAAGGGTAGGTCCACTGGCGTCTGGGCCTGGGAGGACGGGGGTCCTTGCGGGAAGAAGTCGTAATTGCCCCCGGGACCGTAGTACTCGCTCTGGTAATCTGCGGAGCAGCGGGAAGAGGACGTCAGGCGGCACAGAAAGGACGGGAAAGCGCGCGATGTGGAGCGGGCTGGGGAGGACAGCGCCGGGCCGCAGTGGTCCTGGGAGCGGGAGAAGGCGTGGCGCAAACCCCGGAGCTGCTCCTTACCTGCCCTCCTCCCCATTCAGGGTTGGGAATTCTGCCCTCCGTCTCGCTTCCTCCCCCTTGCTTTCCTCACCAGCCTCCGCCCTTTGCTCCCAGACTCTCCATTTCTTTATAGAAAGCGAGGAGTGCCTCCCGCGCAGCCACCCGCTTCCAGCGAAGCCAACCCGACCTGACCGCGCCCCGCCATTCGGCCGCACACCCACCTCCGTAGAAGGAGAAGGGGCCGTTAGGGATGAGCTCTCCCGGCTCCAGGCGGTCAACCAGCGGCCGCATCCGGCGCGGACTGCGGAAGAAGGCGTGGCGCCGGGCGCCCAGCGCGCTCAGCTGCTTCATCCTCCTTTCCTTGGAGCGTCTGTTCTGGAACCAGACCTGCAGTACCCACGACGAGGGGTGAGCCCTCGGAGACGCCATCCCCGCCCCCGGGTGCCCAGCCGGGCGTAGCCTCCCTCCCCTGCAACGCCCAGCTCGCCAATTCGGGCTTGTAGGTGTGCGTGCGCGTGTGTATGGTAGGGGTGGTAGTGTCTCTGAGTAGGACCGCGCAGGGCGGACCCTGAGCCAACAGGGAGCGGAATTCCAACAGAGGGACCTGGACTGGCCACTTTGTCCGACGTGAGGAGTCAGAGTGGAGCCGTGTTGTTTTCTAACAGACACTATCCCAGTTACAGCTTCCGGGGGTGGGCTGTACACAACATAGACGCTAAACCTCTTCAAAATAGTGTCAGACACACTGCGCTCCTATTTCATTGTCCCTTGTAGTGAAGCTCTCCCCCCTAATGACAGTGACAGAGCCACAGAAACAGTCTACTGTTGACACTTGGTCTCCCAACGATAGTGACACCAAAATCCACAATCCCCTTTTCACACCCACACACAATCTCACAATGCCAAACGTACTTATCCACAGCGTCTTCCAGATAGTGACACAGACACAACCTCCCATGTATGCACACAGTTTCACACAGCCTCTCCCAGAGGGCTGCCTGCACACGTGTGTTCTAGCACACTAAGCCTCTCAGGTACATCTACGGACAACCATGCACAGCCTCCAGGGACTGTGAACCGGACACCTAGCATTAAGCCAAAGACTCAGGCTGGCTAGGGGGAAACAAAAGTGGTCTCACTTCTTCCCAATGTCCTCCCTCCCCATCCTAGGTGCAGGGTGAACAGACTGCTGATGGACCACCTCCGTTTTAATCCAGGACCCCCATCTCTCTTTGGAGGTGAAGTCCCTGATCTGGGACTAACTAGGGCAAGAAATTCCCGAAGTTGGCGTTCTGCAGAAGCCAGAGGAAATGACTGACTCTAGTAGACACTGAGGCCTCACCTATGCAGAAAAAGGGGTCTCAACTCTGGCCACAGCGTTTACCAGTGCTCCTCTGGTCTCAGGCTGAGCACCTGCCCTCCCCCTCCACTGCCACTATCACAACCATTAGCCTGAGAAGAAGAGGTATTTCTTGATGCTCCAGGCATCCCAAGAGGTTACAAAGATCCAGCAGGGTCATTGTGTGTCTGTGCACCCTCCCCCCCAACACACACACCCTGGCTCCTCTCCTCGACTCTGGGGTCTCTCCGGCTCACCCTGGATGCCTAGAGTGGTTGTGTGTGCCTCTGGGGGACGGGGTGGCTCGCCAGGGGTCTGACCTGAATGACTCGCATGTTGAGGCCAGTCTCCTGCGCCAGCTGCTCCCGGATATGGCGCGTGGGCTTGGGCGTAGCAGCGAAGGCGGCCTTCAGCAGCGTCTCCAGCTGCTTGGCTTTGATAGTGGTGCGCGGTCCTCGCCGCTTGGCACCCAAGTTCTGGTCGTCATTCTCGTTACTGCCCCCTTCCTTGTCCGACACGTTGGCGCTCTCTGAGTCCTTGGCGTCGTCCTGTGACGGGTCTTGGGAATCCGGAGACAAACTGGGGTCACTTCCCGTGGTGGCTGAGAAGAGGGAAGGAAGAGGTGAGCAGGGGTCTTGGCGAGCCTTCCTCCCCAGAGATGCGCCTGCCCCTAGTGATCCGGGAATTGGGGCCTCACCCGAGTGGAGGCTGTTCTCTTTGGCGACACTGCTGTTACTTAGGTAATCCTCTTTGCAGACGAACTTATTCTCGTCGATGATGTAGAGCTCCTCGCCGGTGGAGAGTTGTTTGTTACACATCATGCAGGTGAAGCAGTTCAGGTGAAATACTTTGCTTCGCGCTCTCCTCACCAGGTCGCTAGGAGAGATGCCCTGCGCGCAGCCTGCGCATTTGGTACCGAAACACCTGCGGGGGTGTGAGGGGATGGGTTGGCAAGGAGCACGGGGAGACAGAGGCCAGCAGAAAGATGGCAGCGGGAGAAAGGTTAGAAGTAGAAAGTGGAAGAAGAAAGAGAGGTGAAGGGGGCAAGAGGAAGAGAGAGACAGCACGCCAAAACGAGAAGCAGAATGCAGATTAAACCGGTGAGGGGGCAGGAGGAGAGAGCGCGGGGCAGCAGTGAAAGGTCAGGGAGGAGATACATACGATTAGAAGGAGGGGTTCAAGCTGCTTCCTAATCCTAGTAGCCTCATGACCCAACGTTAAACCAGAGTAAAGAACGGTAGGCGAAGAACGCGACCAGGCGTCCATCCGAAAAGGGAGACCGGGACACTTATTTTCTGATTAGACTCAGAGAAATCAGATTCGAATTAGAGCTCCGTATAAACGCCTTTGGAGCGCCGCTCTTCTCTCCTAGCGTCTCCCTTTACTGCAAAGGGAGCCACGCACCCGCTAGGGTTTGGCGAGGTCCCGTCAGCCGCGGTAGCTGGGCCGCTGCCACGATCATGCCCAAAGCTTGGCAGGTTGACGCAAGCGGGTGATCCTGGTGGGGATGAGCCCACTCTAGGCGCCCTGCCGCTCTTTGCTGAAGCCAGGCCTCGAGACCCGCTGGCAGAGGGGACTGCTCGCTGCCCTCCAGCTATGATCCAGTCATTGCTGAGGAAACCTCGTGCAGCCTGCGGAGGATCAGAAGCTCAGCCCGCGCTTCCTCCTGGCATTACAAGGGTGCAGAGAGCTTTGCTCCACGGTTCCCCCAAACCGAGCCGCCCATCCTGGAGCGGCATTAGAGACTCTGGGCAAAGCAGCCCGGGTGGTTTCAATCCCTCCTCCTACTCACTGTTTCCCAGTTTGTTCTAACACCACAAACTCTGAGAAAAGCAGAGACCAAGTCAGCCGAGTAAACTGGGAGATTTCAAACCAGTTATGGGGAAATAACCATTTGCATTTGTGCCTGTTCTTTTCTATTCACCTGGGCGTTTGTGTGGATGAGGTGGCACAATAGTGTGTTTAAGTGAATATAATTAAAATGTTAAACGGAGGGAGTAGAAAGAAGCGCCCAGCTCCCACAAGCCAGGTCTGGACTTCTCCTTGGGTTTCAGCAAGGAGGTGGGATCCGTGGCTGGCAGTGCCCAGGAGCAGAGCCTGCATATCAGAGTCAGAGGCGGCTTTAGGGCCAGGTCGAACCCACTGGCCTACCTCTGGTAGCAGGGGAAGCACGAAAAAGCTCTCGGGCTTTGCAATGTTTTGCCCACGTCTACGCTTAGAGGTTGGTCCGGTAATACCGGCCTTGCGCCGATCTCTTTCCTGCCGCTGCCACGACAGATGGCTAGGAGCGCAAAAGGCTCCGGGGTTCCCGCCAAGACCTCTCAAAGTCAAAAAAGGCAATGGCAGGGAGTGAACCCAGGCATCTAAGCTCAGCCTGGAGGGCGAGCTACCCGGGAGGCCCAGAGAATGTAGATGCTGCAGAGCTTGGCTCCGAAAAGACCACAGTCCAGGCTACAATGCCTGATGCTGCCCTTTCCCTTCCAAGCTTGAAGCGGCTTCTAGGCCAAGGCGTGCTCAGACCCTTTCTTCCCAGGCACGTGCCGCCAAAAACAGACCTAGTTTCCAGTATGCAAACAGGGCCGCATACCCAGCGCCCAGCGCGCGCCAGCTGGCGAAGAGGCAGGCGCTTGCAGGACTTGGCTGCCCTCTCCAGAGGTAGCTCCTAGCTCGGCTGCCCGGCCCAGCTGACCTCTGATCCAATGCTGGCCAGGAAGGGCTCTCGGGGAGGGAGCAGCAGAGGCGTGGGAGGTTAGTACTCACCGGAAGAAGTCGTTCTTGCAGTAGAGTTTGCCTTCCCGGGAGAAGCACTTCTCCGTCAAGTTGCATTTACATTCACAACACTGGACGCACTTGACGTGCCAGGCCCTGTCCAGCACGTTCAAGAGAAAGCGGTCCAGGATGGGCCTTTTGCAGCCGGCACAGTGCACCATGGTCTTTGGTTTGGTCTGGTCTGGTGAGGCCCGGCGAGATAGGGGGGCAAAGTTGAGTCGAGAAGATGACTCCTGAAGATGACCGGCAGGAGCTCCCCAGCCCCAACCCCTCCAAAAAGAGGAGACACGCTCGGCCCTGTAAGCCAAAACCTGCACCAGGAAATCAAAAGGGGGAAAGAAGGCTGATGGGGGACAAGGGGCGCCTCCGCGAAGTGTGCAGCCGGGGAGCCCCAGGGCTCCGGAGCGGAGCAGCACCGCCTCAACTCCCGGGGCGAGGAAAAGGAGTCTCAAGAGGGTGAAAATGCGACCCTTCTGCCCAGAGCCCGCGTAGGAGTGAAGGTCACCGAGAACGGCAGCGGGAATGGAAATAAATAAATAAAACGGAGACGGAGGAGACGACTCGGCGAGCTCCGGTTGCCGGGAAAGCGCTGCTGAGTTCTCTCGGGCTTGAGGTAGAGCTGTCAGAAGTCAAAGTGCATCTGCTTTTGTCGTGGTACGAGGGCGAGTGTGTGAGTGCCAGGCTGCCCACCACTGGGATTTTTCCCCCCTTAAAAAAAAAAAGAAAAGGGAAGAACAAAAAGGGTAGCGAAGCTTTGGATCCTAAACTGCCGGCATCGCGCAGTGGGTCAGGACGCTCCCCGCGCCCGCGCCGGGCTTGGGGGAGGGGGCGGGGACAGCCGAGGAGGGAGGGAAGGAGGGGAGGGTAGAAGGAAGATCTTGTTGTTGACTGCTGTTGTTGCTTAGGTTTCTCCCCTTTTGGAGAAGTGTTTGTGTCAATCGAAAACAGGGGGAAAACTCTGGGAGGACGCAGCCAGGCGCACTCGCTCACTCCCCACCGCCCCAGCCCAGTCACCTCCGCCGGTGGCCTGCCTGGCGGCCTCCGTGTCCTCGGGGCGGCCCTCCCTGCGCCTGGGCTCCTTCGGGGAGGCAATGCGGGCTGGCTCCTCACTGCGCCTGGCCGTGCATCGTGGCTCCAGTCACAACTCGCGGCCGCCTGGGCGCGCAGCCCCGCATCGCTCGGCCCACGCTCCGCTGCCTTGGTTTAATGCACAGTCGCTCGACTTTCTTGCCTTTTCCTTTTGCCCCTCTCTTTTCGTTGTAGTGGAAAATCGGGGTTTCCTTTCTAGCCTCCTTCCTTTTTTTTTTTCTTTTGCAGCGGGAGGAGTCGGGCAAGAGAGGGGCAGCTTGGAGAGCTTTTTAAAAATGTCCTGGTGTAGCGGCTACAGTAGGCCGGCGGCTGGAACAGCTCCGCGCTGACCACCACTGTCGCCGCCCGGACCGCAGCTCCTTGCTGGCTCTCCCTCGGCGCGCGTCCCTCGGTCACTGGTCTCCTGGCCCAGTCCGCCGCCCCGGCGCGTCTCTTCCCAGCTCCGGCGGCTCGGTCACTGCTCCTGGCTGTTGGCTGAGCTCTGGAAGCCCCCTCGCCTTAATGCAGCGCCCGCCGACGTCACGGCGGCCTGTGACCAATCAGCGCCTCGCGGTCCCTCTGTAAACCATTCTGCATCCCCTGGCCCGGGAGAGTGCGGGGAGACCGCGTTTAGAGGATCAGTGGCTGCGGCATCCGCGGCCCAGCGCGACGCGGGCCGCTAGGCAGCACAGTGCCCGGGCCCCCTTCTGCTCCGGTAAGGCGTTGTTTTTGGTGGGAGGGACTGAGAGAGGGTGAGAATAGGCTCAAGCGGATGCTACAGTTCTGAAGGAGTAGGGGTAGTTAATCCAAAAGCGAACCTTGGTGAAGGTTGGGGTGCTCCCGGGTCTGGAATCCCAGGCGGCCCCACTGCACTGCTTGGCTTTCCATTTCAGCAGGTGTTGGCATTTTCCCGACCCCCTTGCTTTCTTGACCTGGAAGTTTGTCTCCGGCACAGCGCGGGTTTTTGGAGGGGGAGGAGGTGCTTGGTAGCAGGATCGCTCGGCTCTTTCTGTGTCCCCGCCCCCAATCCATCCAAAGTCCACAGGGTCCGGGTCTCTGGGTGATCTGGGTGTCTGTCTCCCGCAGAGCGCTAGGAAAGTTGATTGGGGCGGTTTCCTGGTGGGGGCGGGGAGACCGGAGGCGCGGCGCTGGGGAGAGGGAAAGGAGTGGGTGGGGAGTTGCAACCCCGGTGAGAAGTTGTGCGAAAACTGTGAAAGGGAGATACCTTTTACATACAAAAACAAACGACTAAGCGGGAAGCCGCGGGGCTCCTGGGGCGGCTGGGCTGTAGTGGTGGTGATGGTGGGAAGAGGGGAGAAGGAATGGGGTGCCGAGGCTCCACGAAGAGCCTGCAGTAGATTGGGGTGTGCAGTGCAGCGGCACAGTGTGCTCAGCTTCCAGTCTTCCCCTTTGCCAGGCTTCAGGCTGGTACCAGCTCCCCCAGACAACACAGACTATACCCTCGATAGTTTCTCTCGTCAGGAAACCCATCAACTCCCTAATTCCGCTCTGGGCATGAGCTCCGGACCACCACTCACTTAGAAGGATTTCTCTAGACTTGGTAGTGGGTCCCGATCTTGAGAGCCTCAGCCTCCAAGAGTTACTCTAGTTCCTTGGTGCACTCAAGTCAAGCCTCAAATTGTTTCAGCCACATCATTTCCAGGCTTAACCGAGATTCTCCTAAGTGACGGCTCCACTCTTGTTCCCCATTTTTGTTTTTTGGGAGAGGCGCCTGTGGCCCTCGTATAGAAGGAAAGAAGGGTGGACGGCCAGCTAGAGGTAGCTGGTATTTTTCTAATTGGCTTTTGGACCTCATCTGCGACGAAGAAGTCAAAATTTCCTTGCAGGGTCCGGGGGCTGAATTGGAGGAAGTGCTGGCTGAGAGGCAGTTGCAATTAACCTGGGCTGGCCGGGAATCCGATTCTAGAAATGGAATACCCTCTTCAGACGAACTGGGAGGTCGCTACAGAGAATTGAATGGCGGGCAGTCTGTGGCATTGTTGGGATTTAGGGCTCTGCCAACGCCCCTTTCCTGGCTCTACCGTACTGCCCAGCAACCCCGACGCCCGCAGACAGCCCCCTCCTTGCAGATAGCGTCACCTTTTCATTGGAAACCGAAGGCGCCTCGGTGCAGTGCGAATCTTTGGTAGTCCCGCATGCCCTGACTTGTGGGCATCCCCCTGCACATACACATCTGGGCTTAAGCTCCTCCTTGCAGGCGAGGGCAGCAACCCCCTCCACCCACCCGTGCCTCTCGGCTGGGGCTCAGGGCAGGGCTAGGCACTCGGTGAAGAAGGCGGTTCTCCGACCTAGCTGGTGAGCTCAGTGAGCTTGGACTCCACTTTGCGCTCCTCCTGCTGATCCAACACTTCCTGGAGCAAGCCTACGGTACCCGGTCTGACACCCCAGTAGGCGCTAAGAGCCGCGGAGGCGGGGATCCTTACTTTCTCCACCTGCACCCCGGGGCGCCTCCTAGCTCGCTGCGGAAGGGGCACGTCCAGCCAAGCGGTCCTCGCGCTCTTCCTACACCAGCTGTCCGGGTTCTCCCCGCTAGCGCCCTTAGCTCAACCGCCCCTTTCTGAAATCTATAGTGGCCCCAGTCCCGGGTGGCTCGCCTCCGCCCCCGCCCCAGCTGGGCTCCTTCTCATGCAAAGCAGAGGGGTCACGATGGGGTGGAGGACGGTCGGCGGGACCTGCCAGGCGACAGCTGGACCTGGCTGCCAGCCCGTCCCGAGACCAAGGCCCACCGCCTTTATCCGTTGGGTTGGAGGAGGTTGCTCCATCCTTTGGGGAGTGCGGGGGAACTTGAGACCTAGATGTGGGGAAAAAGAGGCGCCTCCCCGCAGGCACAAACGGACCAGCGCAGTAGGGGAGTTGGGGGCGAGTACAGAACACTGGCTCTAGGGCTTCAGCTCTACTTGTCCCGGTGTCCAGATGGTAAACAGTAAACAGGTCCACTGGAGCCAACCCTGTGTCGACAGGGGCGCCCATAGCGCAAGGCAAGTGTACCTCTTGGCTCCTGATTCTAGGTTTAAAGTCCAGCTTTAACTCATCCACAGTGACAGCACACTAGACTAATATTGTTTTTCGTTTTCGTTGAGCTTTTATTTTAAAATGTTATCAGTCGCAGAGACACAGAGAGAAAACCTGACCCAGCTTTCTAATTTCACTTCTGAAGACGATCAGCTCAGTCCTGCATTTAAACCAATGCCGGTTCAGCCATGAGCACCAGCCTGCCCTCCTCACCCTGACCGACACAGCAGCATCCCCAAGTACACAGGTGCCTTCCTACACAACGTTCTACAAGTTACACAAACACACAGCCACTTACATCGCCCTGGACGTGTAAATTCTGGAGGTAGTGCCCCGAGGGTCATACTCACAGCAGGCCTATGGCTCAGTGGTGCAGGATCCTTTCCACTCCAAGGCCCACCACCCCAGAAAAGGCCCCAGACAGCCAAGGATGTGACTTTCATAGTCTAGGTTTCTCTTCTCTGAAGCTCCTTGAGGATCAGCCTGAGAGGAGGGAGCCTATCCCAGAACTGGGGATAGAGAGGGTTCTGTCAGCCCTCCCCAGCCGCCCTACAGTTTGGGGATCTGAAGGCACTCCTCCCACACCCTCTTTCCTCCTGCAGCTTCTTTGGTCCTGAGCCCCACCTTCCCTCCTTCCCACTATGTTCCGGAGTGGATCATGTGCTAGCAGGACCGAGCCTGCCCAGTAACCCAGTCACGGCGGCTGCTTTTGATCCTGAGAGTGGTGGCCGCTGGAGTGGTTTTCCTCCTTTCCCATCAAGCTTCTGTCCAACCCAGGGCCCCAAGAAAAGAGCCATTAGGTTGCAAAAGGAGGTACCTGGGTGGACCTGGCTCTAGGTGGTTGCTCTGTGCTGCTTCTTAGGAGTAGGTGCATGGAGCCACACCAGCCCAGGAGGAGAGAGGAAGGAGCTGGCCAGAGCATCCCTGGACCCTTCTCATCCTGGAAGCACTCAAACTCTGCACAGACCGGGTGAGGCTGCGGTAATGCAACGCCGGGGGAACTGTTTGGCTGGGGTCTCTCGGATATGATCGCCAGCCTCTCCGCCTGCCCTCCCCTTCCCCTCTCATTCTCTCCTAACTCAGGTTGCCTTAATTTCACCCATCACTCTTGTGAGAATGATTTACTGTGGTCAGTACTTTACAGGGTGTATAACTATTGCCCCTGAGTTCACAGGAAAGGGATGAGGGGTGGGAGAGGAGGATTGGTATTATCTCCATTTTCTCGGGCAAGGACCTCAAGTTAGGGGGCATTGCACTATTGAAACTGAGAATTTGAGGTATGGGGGCTTGCCAACTTGCTCCAGTGTGCACTTTGCCTCTGGCTGTGGTTTCCAAGCAAGGTGGGCTTGGGTGTGTTAGGAGAAAGGCAGGAACTTGAGGCCAGGAAAGGGCAGTGTCCAGCTGGGACGTCCCAGTATGCGCCTGGCCTGAGTAAACAACGTGAGCTTCCCACAGGGCTGGAGAGGCTCTGGGCTTAAGGGGCTGGGTGGGTAGCACAATGAGGTGGTGGTCTCAGATGCAAGTCAGGGCAGCATTGCAGAGCAAAGACAGGAAGTGGATAATCTTAGAAGGCAGGGGTGAGAAAGACAGAAGTGAGGAGAGGGGAAGAAAACCGGATGGAAAGAAGAGAAGGAATGTAGAAAAGCAAGCGGGGAAAGAGGGAGGAAAGATATGTAGGGGTGATGCTTTTATGAGAGAAGTAAAAGAAATGGAAACAAGACCTAGAAAGACATCCAGCAACAAAAAAGGTGGCGGGGAGAGGCGCGAAGCCCAGGACCCCCGAGGGCGCGGAGGGGACTGCGGTTGGTCCCGGAGGGGGTGCGGTGTGTGGCAGGCGCTTTTGCAGCCCAAAGAAAAGAATGAAGCAGCAGTGTTTGGTGGGAGACTCAGCGTGGAAAAGCGTGCGAGCCACTCTGGGCAGGAATCCAACAAATAAATAAAACGTCTAAGACGGCGTGACAACAATGTGTATTTGGGTGCGTGCCCGTGTTCCTCTGTCTGAACACACATTCACACCCAGTAAGGAAGACAAACGGGGCTCATGGCTCAGAGTAATTAATCCTCTCACTAATTGACTCTCTCCCCTTATCTAATGGTGGTGGTCACTGCCGATATCTGGAGAGATATCAAGTGGAGAAAGAAAGAGAGCAAGAGAGGAGAACCCCAAACCTTTGGGACTACGTTTGAGTTTCTTCTGGATTTGGCAGCTTTAAGCCCTTCTTCCTTCATTTTTGGGCAGAGTTCAATAGATGTCACTCCTTGTCCCTCTAGGTTTCAGTAGGCAGCATTAGTACAGATCTCTTCAGATTGGGGGACCTGGTCACACATACTGAGGGCCGTCTGCAGGTCTCTACCCGGGGAGATCAGGTTCAGAGGCTAAGCCTCATCCTTCCCAACATTTCTTACCTCCAGGCAATATCAAGGCTTCCCCCTCCCATTTTGTCCCCCCAGGGGC